GCAAACACATTGGTAAAGGGCATCTCAGAAAGATACTCTCCACGCATATGACACACCAGCCCCCTCCTGACAGTGTCACAGTGGCCAGCTAATTCAGTCATCAATGAAACAAGCACATGGATCTCAGCCTTGTGTCTAGTCTGTCTGCACTGAGACACCGCTATGAGCAAGTGCAGTCTGGGGACCTGAATTGCTGGGGCTGCTAGGAGACGTCGTGACAGAGGTTCATGGCAGAGCTCTGTGGGAGGCAGCAGCTCAAGACTGGAAAAGCCGGGGGGTGCTGCAGGTCAGGACTGATGAGCACCGGCAGAGCTGGAGGGTGGGGTGAAGCTTGCACCTGGCCTGACTCTGAGGTGAGCTGTGGCCTGCAGAAGTGTATGCATCTCTAATTCAGTTAGTCTATAAGGTGCACCTCTAGGCTGCCTTCTGCCTGACTCCAGCCTGTGTAATTAGCCCTTCATTTTAACACACACCAAGCTCACTTGACTACATAGCACAGTATTTAAAGACATTGGCCTGCAGTCTATTGACCTGGGCAATTGGTGAGATGTACACAGCCTTTCACGGGGAAGCAGCCGGGGGACAAAATAAGAGCCCTGGGGGGGTACACAAGCTCTGGAGGTGAAAGAGCCCAAGTCAAGTGTGAACCTAACACACATCAGTATTAAGCAAAGGGAATTCCTTACTGGAGGACAGCTCAAGCTTTGTTCAGTGATTATGCCCCTGCCTCACCTGTCCCGAGGACATGTAACAAGATGTCTGTCATGAGACCAGATGCAGGTGTCAGGGCCTTGAGAGGCCTCTTACTTCCCTTACACAGGATGCAACAAAGAGGATGAGGCTGAACTAGTTCGAGAGGAGGAACGTACAGGCCTCAACCATGTGCACGTATCCACGTCCACACATACACTGCTGCTTGCACACTCCTCTTCCCCCTCATCTCTGGCAACCTACAGCCCCCAGGCCCCATGCAAGAACTGCTCAGCTGAACAAGAAAGCAAATACACACCAGAGGAAGAGGGGGAGCAAACCTGCTAATCCGCCTCCAGCCTCTACAATTTGGCAACTAATTTAACTGTAACCTGTGCAGCCCAGGCTCCTGAGTTGCCAGGGCTAATTTGAGGCCCCAGGGGAGAGGTTTGTGGCAGGGCTGTGTCAGAAGCAGAAGCTCAGGACTGGTATAGCCAGGAGGCTGCAGGGCAGCTGTGGGAGCCTCAGCGAGGGGCACCCTCTGTTAACTCCACTGTCACAGCCAATTTTGGAAGGGTGTAACCGATGTCCTACCTCTACGTTGTCTCTGCAGCTTTCCTGTCCCAAATTGTTACGCAGCATTCAGGAGCACTAACCTCAAACTTTCACATAAATCACAAGTCAGACCTCGTCCCTCCCCTCCCGCAAATGATGAAATTGGCTTAAAAATCCTGAGATTCTTAGGACAGTAACATCTGGACCTGTTTTGCCCTCTGGTTTCTGATGCTTTAGGCTGTGCTTGTGTTATGTTTTTAAGCTTTCTACGATAGCTACGGTGGCTAGAAATGGACCTTTCCGAAGTAAGCCAGGTCCTTTCTAAGGGAAGCCAGATCCTGACTGCAGGTCCTAAGGCTTTAAAAATGTACACAAGATTCACGATAAAAATCCCAAGAGTTGACAAGACTAAGCACTACCAGGCACTTTTAGGGCACTGCTGTGTCCCACCCAAAGACTGGAGAATATAATGAGCAATGTGGCTGCTATAAGAGATAAATAACACCTTTCCTCTGTGCAAGATAATGTGACAAGCCAAGATGGCCCCAAAAAGCCCCCCCCCAGCCAAAGCTCAGAGCTGGGACTATCTTGATCTGCAAGGGGAAAGCTCCCACTGAATTGGCCGCAAGTGGAGATTGCCAATATGGGATGCTCTAGTCTGGACACCTGCCCGCTGGTACTAGTTGCCCATGTCATCTGTGCAGCTTTGCTACTGGAAGAGTTGTACTGTTTGTTAGGGCACCCACCATAATGGAGCCCAGGAGAAAGTTCTGCCCAGTCTCTGCTGAACAAAAACTAAACCAAATGCATGTTACACCTGCTAGCCCAGATGGAGACGTCCTGACATCTGCCAGACCTATCTGCTCCCACACACACCCTTGTCCATACACCCTCAGTGTGCCGTGTATGCACACTCACAACCTGGTTAGGTTCAGGCCCAAGAAATTCATGCCAAGGGATTCCAAGCCAAACCCTCCCCTGTAAAACTGTAACCTAAATCCTAAATAATGGATTTCTAGGCATGCATTAGAAACATTAGACAATGAAGACTGGAAAGCTGGGCCTGGCTGCAAGCCAGATAGGCTCCTGCCCAGGGGAGTGCAGTATGTTTCCTAGTTAGTTCATTTTAACCCTGCTAAATAGGCAGGCAAGGCCTTGGTAACCCAGAATGCAGGGGCACAGGCTCGTGCATCCTGGAACTCCCATGACCGGGGAGGGGGGTGGGGGTGAGGAGAGAGCGAGCCTCAAACAGGGCTTCACCTCCCTCACAAGAGCACTGCTCATGTTTTTACCAGGTCCCATTCACGGCAGTCCTTCCATAGGTGTAATCCTGCCAGGCTTGCTCCTTGCTGGGATTCAGACATAGCTTTTAAGATTTATATTTCTGTCATTCAGTATTGCTAAGTGTCATCCCATTCTGAACTCTACAATGCGAGTTCCCCCCTCGCTTTCACCCCCTGTGACTTAGGACTTGCACTGCAAAACTAGGAGCAAGAGACATCCCTGAGCCTCTCCCATGGGGGTCTCCTTGGCAGGTTTCATAGGAAGAGCCCACTCCTTTCAGTAACTCAGGAATCACTGACATATGGGGGTCTCTTCACAGGAGAGCGGGGCTCTCTGAGAGAGTAGAAAACAGGAAGATGCTTTTCCTGCTGCAGACTTTCAAGCCAAGGTCCATCAGAACCGCCTTTAAAAGCGTGGTCTCTTGAAATGCCTCCAGTTTCAGTCTTTATGAGATGGACTTAGGAAATGAGCACAAAATGTCTACCCACACAATCCACACTCACCCTCCTGTGCCCATCCACGCAAGCAGCTCTGCACCCACCACTGGGCAGCTAGAAACCCTGGGCACTCCTATTTGCAGCTATAATTGAATTGTGGCCCCTGCAGATTCACCCCTAGGGAAAGTGCCTCCCTTGGTACAGGCGGTTCTTTACCGAGACTGAAGAGAGATCAGATAGATCCCACTGGATCACAATACTAAGGAGTTTGCTGGTTGCCAGGGCAGAGGAGCCCAGAGACGGCGATTGTAGGTGACTAGGCACCATCTGGTCAGTGCTGGTTCCTGACATAACGGCCCACGTTGGCATGTTTATGATACAGATCAGAGGCAGATTCCCATTATCCCCTTCGAATACTGTTATGTGGGTTTCAGGACAAGGCACCACAAGAAGCAGATGGGGAGGCAGAGAAAAAGAACATAGCCAGCCAGCCAGCCAGAGATTTATATGGCACTAAAGTACATACCCATAACCATGGGTAGTCAAGAGCCACGCAAGTACAAAATTCAATGGTAGGACCCTGCACTTTCTAATAATAACACATCAAATATAATTCAGCTCTTTTTCTATTTATCAGAATTTCTAAATGAAATATTTATATCAATACGTTACATACACGTATTGTGGAAGAGCAGCAATACTGGCTGGGATCTGAGAGGATCTGTTCAAGCAAACATTTTTTTTTTTCTCTGACACCCAGTTTTTGTGGGATGCTGGCTCTCTGTGTGGGGCTTTATGCCCCTGAAATAGATGCACAGTGTGTGGCATTTGTATTCTGCATTACATACTTAAATCACAGCTTTCGGTTTACCCCTTATAAAAAAAATACTGCAATATCCTGAAGCCCCAAGCAGCCAAACTCAGAATATTACCACTGCATTTTCCAAGTATTACAGAAAAAATACTAAAGCATTGCTTAAATAGAGGATAGAGAGATCATCATCATGACCACGAGTGCCCTACAGCATGCATGGGGAGTGGGGAGAGATAGATATGGATTTTGTAAGGCAACATATAAAAACATGTTTATTTTCTAAAACAATAAATAGAGATATTTGGGGGTTTAAACAAAGAGAGAAGCTGGGGGGAGAGGGGGAGGAGGGTTTCTTCCTTCTTTTGATTGCTCTCTAGCAAATGGACAAATACTTTCAGAAACAAAAAGCATGGCATAGTTACCAGGAGCAAAGCTTAGTGCTTTAGATTTAATGATATGTATTTAACTTCCTTTTAGGGGAAAGCCGTCTGAAATCACTGGGGAAAAAAATGGTTTTAAAGGCTTTTGTCATTGTTACATACAAGTCTAAAGAGGGACTCTCTCTTTGTCACTGAGGGGACTCTGGGTTTATAGAAACACCTTGGTTGGAAAAAAAAAAAAAAATCGCATGTGCCCTTTTAATGAGAGAAGCAATGAGCACTAAAAGAGCAAAATTTTGTCAGGCCCTTCCCCCTCCCCAAAAAATAAAGAAATAAATGGATCCAAGGGAAATGGATATTTTAATCAGCCAGTAAACCAGAGGTGGTTTATCTCAGCACATATTGCAAGCTCTGTCTGCCAGATCCCTGATGGGTCCTTGCCCCCCACCACCCACACTTCCTAGATGTCATTAAGGATTTTTTGCATGCAGCCAAGTGGGTGAATGGAAATAAAGCATTTGTGTCTTCCCTACCAGTTGGGTGATCATGACAAGGAGGAAGGGAGCCAACGCACACATGCACATGTGCCCGTGCGCGCACACACACACGGCAAATTAGAAAGGATGTTAATTCAATTAATATCACAGCGGAGCTGTGTGTGCGCGCGCGCGCGTGCATGTGTGTGCACAGATTTTCCGCCTGAGGAAGGAGGTGGCAGAGAAAGAACTGGGGCATGCCAGCTCCAGTTATTGTTCTGCCTTCATTGGTAATTAGCAAGATAAGGAGGAGACGGGCGTGCGGGAGGTAGCATGGTAAAGATTAGGCAGCTCTGCAACCTACCTCATGCCAATGCGGCCATCTTACACACAGCACTTGATTCCATCAAAATGGCTTCCTGGCACCTAGCAGCCTACAAACGGCAGCAAACATGGCCTGGCGTGGCAGATTTTGTGTTCGCGGGCGCTGCCTTTCTCAGCCGCTCTTTTTTGTCTTCCGCGTGCACTCGTTGAGGACTCCATGCAGGGTGGATGATCCCGGGGAGAGGGGAGGAGACCGGGGGAACTGGAAAGGGGAGGTTAGCCAGGAAGAAGCCCCCTCCACCTTCCTCTCCTGCGCTGCTCATGCCGAATGGGGAGTTTCTTATCTTTGCTGCAGAATGTCGCACAAGCTCTATGCAGGAGACAATAAGGCACAGCCATTACTCAACGAGTACTGTACATGGGCATAATGCCATGGTTACACGCAGAAAGAAGAAAACAGATCCTTCCTGTTAACTGATTGATCACTGCATTGCTCCCCATGGCTAAAGCCCCTCAGTCTACGGGGAGGGGTATACACCCATCCTAGGCTTGTCCTTCCTACCCATGCTCTCCTCAAAGTGCAAAGCGTTTCCCTTGTTTTGCTCAGAGAATGAATGAGAGCCTCTGGCTCCTGCTTATCTTCTTCTTTGGGTCTCCTTCCAAGCCCTGTCCCTTGGGCAGGGCCAGTCCAACCAGTAGGTGAACTAGGTGGTTGCCTAGGGTGCCAGCATTTGGGGGGTGCCAAAATTATATGCAGGACAAAATAACAGGAGCATCGTTCTAAATAACAGCCCTGGCCGGCTACAGCTCCACCTTGGTCTAAGGCCTTGGTTCGGTAAGGGGAGAAAGACCTCCGGAAAGATCTCAGAGGAAAGATCACTAGAATTGCTGCTCCTACCTTTTCAACTCTCAAGCGGACTTATGACAAGAGCATGCCGCTGGCAACATCATCCAAAAAAATGAACCCCTACTCCTATATCATCTTACAGCTCATGACACTGGTTTCTTACACCTTCCTTCTCCCTTCCAACCACCCTTTTTTTGATATAAACCACCCTAGAGTTCATCAGTTGCATTTAAGATTTAGGGTTAATGAAAAGTGTGAAACAATCAATAAAAAAATTTTAGTCTATCAAATAAGTACATGCAAAAGTTCATTCTAGACTTCTTATTTTCCTCTACATTGGAAGTGGTGGGGGGCACCAAGGAACACAGTTCACCTAGGATGCCCTTGGACCAGCCCTGCCCTTGGGATATTTAAAACCAGAGTGGGCAAAGCACAGATATGTCCTAGAGGGAACAGCTCCATAGGCTCCAGGGAGGAAAGAACATAAGCGAGAGCTTCCCAGCATTTATTCTTACTCCTCTGAAGATGGAAGTATGGATGTTGCCAGCTCCTTGCCCAACCTTATCCATAGCCAAGTACAACGAGGATGGACCACAAACTGCCCCCTCACTCCAGGAGTGAGTCTTGGGATCAGTCCCTGTGACCTACAGATCAGGACACAGATAGAAGATCTAAACTTGCAGTTCTTCTCCAGTCACAAATCCCACTGAAGTCCATGTGTGACAACTGCAAGGCTGCATATACAACGACCCACAAAGACGTAATGCTATTAAGCTGTTCTGTAGAGAATCAAAGGCGATGCTTGGAGCAGGAGGGCCACAACGAAAGTAAAGAGGGAAACCTGACTGCTGTCCAGCCAGCTCAAGAGGAAGTTTAGAGAATTAGTGGCTGGTTACATCAATGTGACACTCATAAAAGGACCAGTCTTGAAGGCTTTGTTCTCAGTCCTTACTCAGGCACAACTTCTGCGGTCTTCAAAAGGTTCAGCTTATGGTGACACTAAATCTAACACAAATGCACCCTGGTGCTGAGAGCATTTAAACCTCACAAAAATGTTTAGCATGTAGGATAGGTAGTGTGAACAAGCTCTTTTCTGTAGAATGAATTTTACCTTCTCTGAAACTCTCACTGTATCTGAAATCACAATTTAGTATAAATGGATAGAGCTGTGCTATATGCACATGGATGAACATTTTCAGCTCTCTGCAAAATCTGCAAGGGCATTTGCTTGCATATGCAAAATGGGTGAAGGCAAGTCTAGCGGACCATTTATATGTGCATTTATCAGCTCTGCATTCACTAGGTTGGGAATTTGCACACATAAATGGATGCACCTGTACATTTGCAAATTTTGCTGATGTACATCTTAAGACCTGTGGGCCGTGGTCGCAGAGTGATACAAGTGCCTTGCTACCACTCTAGATGGCTCAGTGCAAAGTCTGCTTTGGACTCATGATAAAGGCCACCCCCAATTAAGGCAACTGCAGGTGGGTACCTAGTTGTTTGGGCCGGAGAGTCAAAGGATGCAATGCCGCTCACATCACTCCCTTGTGTGCCTCTGACTACAGAAACGGGTGTGCCTTAACCGTGCTAGCCCAGTGGGCAGTTAGCCTTGGGTGGCAGTATGACTTTGACGTTTCAAGATCCTGGTGTAGATAGATTTAACCATTGTTAAGCAATTTCTCCCACGCTCTCTCTGTGCCTTAAAAAAATAATAATAGATTTAAATCAAACCCCCAATCCTTATGTTGCATGGTGTCAAAGTAAAGTCAATCAGAAAATGGAAATGTTAAGGTGACATCAGCACCATTAGCTCAGCTTC